TTTGCAGACCTCCAGCTTGATGTAAAAGGCTGTCGGGATGTTTATGATTCTTTCGATAAGTATGTGACAGTTGAACATCTTGAGGGTGACAATAAATACCGTGCCGAACAATATGGTTTGCAGGTTATATTACTGAATTTCTATTGTTGACTGCATTTATACAGTAACTCTAATCTGAGTTTGCTCTTAGTTGCTTCCTTCCACAAACCACTTTACTAGTGGTTTTACATTATTTCCTAAGCCATTGAGATTTTTAATGTATGGTTGTTAAAACATATGTGGGGTCGTGCATGTTATGTTTTACTTTCTGATTGAATGATGTCCACAGTTTTTCCTTCCATTAAACCGCTTGCTGAAGCCACTATTCTTACACATTTTCCACGATAGTGAATTTTTAAAATATTATTCTCAAGGATTATGTTGTCTGCTTATTCCAGGTTGCTAAGAAGGGTGTCCTGTTTATTGACTTCCCTCCTGTTCTTCAACTTCAGCTAAAGCGATTTAATATGATTTTGTGCGGGACACTGTGGTTAAGGTCTGTAACGGAACTAATCTACATGCTTCAGCTTCAGCTTCATCTATGCTTACATGAAGCGTTGAAACTGTGATTCTTTGTTGAAGATGTAGAGCATGCATCTTAGTCGCAAATGTAGCATGCAAAGATATGTTTCTTCAAATTATTTATTGATCCAAGTGAAGGACTTGAGCTCACCTTATGGTTTCATCCAACTCTTAGTTTAATTTTTGTTTCACTAGTGCATTCTGAAAGATGGATATAACCCATTTGAATGGTATTTTTTAATTTTTTTTTAAATATCTGCAGCGTGAACCATTTTTTCTTCATACGAGTTAAATTGAACTGTCTCTATCTATTGCATTATCTTTATTTGAAATTATATAAACTAATTAAATTCGTTTTTATTTCTTGGGCTGCAATTGTTTGTTCGGTGTGATAATGATATTTCATAGATGGAAAGCAAATAAACTATCATGGTAAGAATATTGTATTATTTGTTTTTGGCAGGTAAATGATCGCTATGAATTTCTCTTTAACTTGACCTTGATAGAGAGAATGGAATGTATCTATCACCTGAATCAGATAGGAGTGTCCGCAACCTCTACACTCTTCATAGGTAACCATAATAATAGTAGTTGATTGGGTTGGATGATTAAAAAAGCACGCTAACTTTAACGATAGTGTTAAAAAATTCCTAGCGAAATGCTACTTACTATGATACTTAATTACTGTTGCAGTGTCTTGGTTCATATTGGTGGGGCGCATGATGGACGTTACTGTGCTTTCATAAGGCCAATCCTCTCTGACCAGTGGTATGGAACTGCTGGAATCCAAGCTCTGTGCTCTTTTACTTTGCTTCTTACTTTTTTGTTTATCGTTCTGGTTCAAATGAGTCGGTTTTGTTGTGAATCTTGTGATTTATATTTCTCACATTGCTTTTCGCATAGATTTTGGCACCACAATTCGGTTTACCTGACTGCCTAATTGACAACTGTAAAGAAAGCACATGTTTAATTAGTTATATGCATTTTTTATTTATTACTTTGGTGTTGAGTATTTATTTATTTGGATTTTTATGCATGACTATCAGTGTTATTGTGCATGCATTTCATCTATGTCGATAACTTGTCCGTTGATGCAATTTGTCCTCTCATGTTTTAGGTACAAGTTTGATAATGAACGTGTGACGAAAGAGGATGTGAAAAGGGCTTTAGAAGAGCAGTATGGTGGTGAAGAGGTAGTTAATTGTTGTGGCTGTTTCCCAACTGCTCCAGTCATCCTTAATTTTAAAGTTACTTAATTGTAAACTGACTTATTGTTGTCTTCTAATCCCAAGAGTTGCAACGGACCAATTCTCGCTTTAATAGTACTTCTTTCAGCCTTACAAAATACTCAAATGCATACATGCTTGTGTATATACGGGACAGTTATAGGGAGAAAATAATGTACAACGTGGACGAGAAAGACATAGCCGAACATCAAAGGGTAATGGTACATCAAGCATAATTTCTTCATTTCATTGTCCAACTAAGAGGCTGAACCAACTTTCGTTGATTCATTTCAGATAAGGTCGAAGAAAGGACAAGAAAAGAAAGAGGTTGAAAGATGTAATGCACAAGCACACCTCTACACTACTATTAAGGTAAAGCTTTCCAGTATCCGGCTTTCACCATTGCTTGTTCGAATGAGCTAGTACAAGCATTTGGTGTACATTAAATTATTATTGCGAAATTTATGGATATGTTTAGGTTTCTCGAGATAAGGACCTGGCAGAACAAATTGGAAGGGATGCATATTTTGGCCTTGTCGACCATAACAAAGTTCATAGGTTCCGTATTCTGAATCTAACACCCTTTAATCTTGTCAAGGTACACCAGTACAGGCTGAAGTTCATTTATGTCTTATCTTTTCTTCATTTTTGGCTTATGGAAGATTGGTGACTTTGAGTGCAAAGTATTCTGAATTCAATTTTATTAATTATGAGAATTCCTAATTCGGAAATGGTTAACAGAAGGAGGTTGCAAATGAGTTTGGCATACCAGTGCAGTTTCAGCGTATCTGGATTTGGTCCATGAGAAAAAAACCATACATATCGCCCCAAACGACCATAGACAAGTTGTGAAGAATCACACGCGGTATGACTTCACACTGCTCCTTGCATATGTGCTGTATCTCTGGGTTTATAGCTGGTTCATTGCGTAATCCATATTTCTGATTGTGTCCAAATTTACTTTGTTGCATCTGACACTGAAGTTTTAAGTTCATGATTTTGTGATGGGTGAATATAAATGTCAATTTCTTTTGCGAAATTGGAATTTAAAAACTGCTTAATGCAGAGATTTGTTAGAATTTGGATAATCATTAGCTTCTTAGTACTTGTTGAGGCATTTTAAATGAAGTTATTAACTTATAATAGTACATAAAAAAGTCTGTTGGGCAGTGATAAACATTTTATCTCAGATTTTGAAATGATTGATAGTGTTTTTAGTTGCACATCGATGCCCAGAAGAGCTTGTCTGGTGACTTGTGCAATCTAATGATAACCACTTGCGTTTTCCAGGTTGGACGATTGAGAGATGGATCAAATACAATACACAATGGAAGAGCTAAAGTTGTTTTTGGAAGTAGAGTTTGGGCCGGTAATCCAGTGTTACTCTATTCTTGTTACGACCTATGGTGTGAGGGTTATTGCAGTTCCAATTGCTGGCTGAAAGATATCTTTTCTTACATTTATTTCTCTCATTAATGCTCCAGGATCTATGTCTTATTCCTCCGCATGCCAAAACCAAGAAAGATATCCTTGTTTTCTTTAAGCTTTATGTGTTGAAATATAAGTGTTTTAGCTGAATAAATTTGTATTTAGTTTCAGTTTATGGACTTAAATATGAGCCATTGGATTACATTCCAATTGGACAGCTAAGATGTAATCTTAGAGTTAGTGATTTGTGTTGACACATGTAACTATCTTATAGAGTAGATTGCATGAATGGTTGGATTTGAGTTTTGTGTCATAGAGAGAGAATCTCTCTCTAATGGTAATATACCTCTTGCACGTTTTGTGTGAGGAGTGAATGAATGAAGAAAACTTTCTCTGTGAGAACCTTCTCTCAGCAACTCTCTGAGATTTTTTCCAGAAATCTTCATCACCATTTTCGCTTCATACCTTGCCACAGAGATCATAGTCTATGAGATTCTAACATGGCCTCAGAGCCAAGCTTGGTCGCTTAACACTGGGCGATTGAATCTATGAAGGAACGATTTAAAATTCAAAGAAATTGGTTGCAAGATTTGTGTCTAACATGGCAGGATCTGGAGGTGGTGAGCTGAAAGCTCCGATCTTCACCAGCGAGAATTATGAGTTCTGGAGCATAAGGATGAAGACTATTTTCAAGTCTCATGGATTATGGGAGTTCGTTGAAAAATGAGTAGAGTGCTCAGATTCGAAGGGAGCTGATGAATTTGATGCACAGAAGAAGGAGAAAGAGGAATCGAGTGATACTGCAACTCTCACGGAAAAGCTCATGAAAGATACCAAGGCGTTGGGGTTGATTCAGGATGCAGTTTCCGATGAGATCTTCCCTCAGATCTCTCACGAAGAAACCTCTAAGGGAGCTTGGGATATCTTGATGCAAGAATTTCATGGCGACAAACAGGTTAGAAGTGTTAAATTACAAGGTCTTCGTAGAGAATTTGAATATACCATAATGAGAGATGATGAGTCCCTATCTGTTTATCTTACAAAATTGTTTGATCTGATAAATCAAATGAGAAGTTGTGGAGAGGAACTATCTAGAGAGAGAATTGTGCATAAAAATATTGATTAGTTTACCCTCCATATGATCCTATATGCTCTGTGATTGAACACTCAAGGGATATATATGTGATTGAGGTTCAAGAGGTAGTTGCCTCATTAAAAAGTTTTGCACAGAGATTGGAGAGACATAATGAGAACAAGACTAAGAGAGCATTTGCAATTCTAAGTGTGAATCCCAAACCTGCCAATTCCTCTGGAAATCAAGGCAATCGATACCAGAAGAATTGGAAACCAAAATTTAAAAAGTGGGATCAAAAGCCTACTTATCAATCTGGGAAGCAAATTGTAGCTGCAGAAGGTGGTAGAAACCCTTGCAGGCATTGTGATAAACACCATTATGGAGAATGTTTTCTTAAAGGCAAACCTACCAATTCAAGTACAAGATCCTATCATTACCGCCAAGATATCCAACTGGTAGTCATAACTACCCGATTGCAAGAGCAAAGCTCGACCCATCCACAACGTTGGTCTTTCCTTCATTAATTTATAAAATTGGGATTTTTTACTTCGAAGTCTAGCTTCAATTCCTTCTGCTATGAGGTAGATCGGCCACTACTCCTCAACAAAGTGCTGGTTAGACAATGTGTGGTTGTTAAACAAGGACAAAAACACAATTTTTATTGAAGCTACCAAACGAGGAGGGGTAGGAGTGTAAACGAAAAACACCCATCAGCACAATTATCTTCCTTCCCATTCAGACTCGAGCAATGTGAGGAAACAAGCTACCTGAATTACGCACGACGCGTTCATTTCTTTGCATGTTCATACAAACTTTTGGGCCAAGAAAGGGCTTATTAACAAAAGCAATTATTTCTAAAACTTAAAGTACTTCTTCAGTGCATCTTGTAGGACGGCCCAGGTTCCAACAGAGCCACGCTTTTGTAATGCCAATGTAGTCTGCCTCACAATCATGTTTTCAGATTTTAAAGAGCTATCTGCGAACCTCTGCTTAAGAGGTTCCATTTCATCCACCGCAGTTTCTAGATCCGCCATTGCCTTAGCTCGTTCTGCCTTTACTCGGGCCAGTTCAGCCTCGAGTTCTGTAACCTTGGCATCATAATTGGCCACAATGTCTTTTCTCTCTTGGCATTTCTGCACGGCCAGTCCCATTTGAGCTTTTATCTTTTCGTGTTCGACGGGAAAACCTTCAGTTTGGGCAAGCTCTTTTACTGCATCCACGTACTTCGGCATTTCACCCTCCAAAGACGAAAGAAGATCCTTGAACATGGAAGTGGTCGTTGAAGGGATCATCCCTTGTTCAGTCACGAGTTTCAAGGCTGCTTTGAACTCCTCATAAGCCCCATTTGTGCAGAGTGTGTCAAGGCTGCTACTTGCATAGCGGCTCACAGTGTCTAATGCAGCCAAAGCCTCTACTGATGGTTCTCTGGCTGAAGTGGACTTCAATAGATCCTCTGCAGCAGAAAGTCTTCTCAGAGTTCGATCAACTGCTTGAGAAGCAGGGCCATCCAGGTCATCATTTTGCTTTTCAACTTCTCTGCTTGCTGTCTCATGGCCGACATTAGACACCATGAACTCTAAGGTTACTTGGGCAGCCTGCATCAGAGTCCAGAGATCAGTACGAAGATTAAATTTTAAAAAAAATGAATGTGGGCTCGGTCAGATTCTTACATCTTCTTGTGGAGTTGGCTCTGCCTGGCAAATAGAGGTTGGAAAAGAAGTATTTACAACAGCACTTGCTTGATTTGCGGTGCGAGCTCCCTTAGGAGCTTTATCAGAGTGCTGCAACCCAAGGTACTGCTCCCATGCAGACATATAATATGAAAGAAAGCGGGACATGAGTTGCGCAAGACCATAGATACACATCAAATCGTCTGGAAACAATATCAGAATCCTGCAGGTACTCTTACGTCTTCTTGTGGAGTTGGCTCTGCCTGGCAAATAGAGGTTGGAAAAGAAATATTTACAACAGCACTTACTTGATTTGTTGCGTGAGCGCTCTTAGGAGCTTTATCAGAGTGCTCCAACCCAAGGTACTGCTCCCATGCACCAGAAACATCTCTTCTCTGAGGAAAACAAAAGCCATAACAACGGAATTAAAGAACCCGCAACGCAATAACGGCAATACCCATAAGCACACGATTACAAGAGACCATAGAACATACCTGAAAACGGCTGGAAACAACATCAGAATCCTGCAAGTACTCAGGACGACCAAGTGACAAGAAAGCGAACTTCCACTGCGCAACCAAAAGGGAAATAGATGAGCAGCAAAATAAAAAACCATTAATTCTAGAGGTAAAACAATCTTTTCCTCCAGTAACGTTCCAACAAATGTAAGGTTGAATCAAGTACCTTAGCAAACACCTTATTGGGGACCCGCAATTTCTTTTCTATCCGTTCTTTAACTTCAGCTAAAGTTTCACCTTCATCAATGACCAAGAAGAAAGGTTCCCCAAAATTTTGTACTTGCTGTTGAAATGTACAAACAACAAGATAATTACTAAAATCTTTATATATTTGGGTGAATCACTCTTCATCTCTAATTGAAGCAGTAATCAAATAGTTCTACAAAATATCAATCAAAAAGCCAAAATTCCGCTTGGGAAAAAAAAATAATAAAAATTCGCATACCATCTGGTTCTGTGCAGTGTTTATTGTAAAGTGGTAAACATGAATCAAGCGATCATGGGGACCCAAGTTTTTCTCTTCTTCTGGAATCTGATACACAAGGGGGGAAAAGTCAGCTGCATAGAAAGTACCGATTAAAAATATCAATCCAAGCAAGGATCCTAATCCCAAAAGGGAAAACCAACTAATTACAAATCTTGCCCATAAAACTACACCCACATTCTAAAAACTTTCAACTGAATAAAGAAGAAACTTCCCAAAATAAAACTAAATAAAGAAAAGGGGGAGAAATGAACATGCCTCCTCTGCACGCAAAGTCCAGAACTGGTCATTTATATTCTCAATTTTCTCACTGTGTGGGAAGATCTGAAAACAAACAGATGGAACTGAGTGCAACTACAGACTAAAGCACATAAATTATTCGACGGAAAAAAATTATGATATAATAAGGTCCTTCAGGAAAACAAGCCAAACATATCATACATAATCACATCATAAATGGGGCCAGCTACGTGCATATCATTTCTGGGAAAAATGACCCCAAAAAATACCTATACGCTGACATACAAATAATTACCTTGTAAATCTTGTGATTGAAAACCTCAAGCAGTCGGAGTTCTGCATTTGGATGAGACAGCTCTACCTGTTTCAAGTACACCATACATTGAGTAAAATCTATTATACAGAACTTTTAAAGGAGGCAGAGATAAATTATATTGAGCATCTAATAACTCTTAAAGTTAGTCAAAGTGATATATCTTATAAGCAATAAATAAAGGAAATTGGTGTATGACAGCATCATTACCTTTCCTGTACAAAAAACGAAAAGAACATACACATAGAACTTAAAATATGATTTGACAGAAACTGTACCTTCTTTTTAAGTACATTAATGACATCCCCCACAGTGCTCTGTTTGGGCAATCTAATATTGTGAATCACCACCTGTAAACATGTCACTCAAGATTATGATGTGCACAATGATGTAATCACTGTTCATAGGCAGAAGACGCCTTACTCATACCTCATCTTTTGTAGCATGATGAAAAGCAACTTTTAGATTTTTTAGGCCTTGCAATTCTGGCAGGGGGATGTCCAAGACTTCATAATACAAAATATGAGAGATCTGTAAAAGGAAACAATAAGCATAATTAGTAGCCACACCACATGATGCTTATGAGAGTGAATTAAACAGAGGAAGGGCAATACAGTGCCACCTACTTGATTGTAATGAACTAACATATCAGTTAAATGCTTTACACGCCGAAATTTAATCGGTTGGGGCGTAGGTTGCTCAGAATAGCAGTTATGTGCAGTGAGTCTGATTTTGGTGGGATCTTCCAAACCAATTTGGCGAGCCAATTTCTCCACCACATCATCGTAAGTGTGTAGCTTTGACCTAAAAATAACAATGAAAAATGAAGTTAATGAACTGAGTAATAGAACAATGATGGACTGTTCAACTATGAGGGACAATGGTTCAGGAAGTACATACAATTCTAAACTGAAATCCTCCTCCTTCGGTTTCTCCAAAGAATGGAAATGAAAAACCTGTAAAGCATCAAACCATTCAACACAGTTACGTTTAACATTCAACAAAATATAGCTATAAAACAAACTAAATGTTTCCCCAGCCTGTACCTGGCGATTGTGTATGTATTCCAAAAATGAAGGAGCATCAGGATATTTACATTCTTCTTCACTTTCAAGGGAAATAGACTTCTGAAAGCAAATAATATCCCCATCTTCAATCTGGAAAAGGAACACAACCGGTGGTTAACTGAAAATATACCTAGAATCAAAACGTTAATTCCTATAATACACACATATTTGTAATATACCCAACATGCAAAATAGCAACAGTTACCTCACTTAATTGAAATGAGGTCTTCTTGTCAAGGTGTTCGCACATGATACAAGGCTCAAACTTTATTTCCTGAAATTGTAGCACAAAAACATATACAAAGTTTGCTTAAAATGCTACAGCAAAGCATGCAACAAATTATAAATATACATATACATTCTACATGTCTATATACAATATTTATGAGTGTGTGTGAGCTACAACACAACCTTATGCTAAAATTTAAAGTGAAACACACCTCATAAAGCTCAATTTCTTCATCAGGGGTAAAACCAGCCAGTTGATTTAATTTTCCTAAAATCTCTGCTGGGTTACTAGAACTCTTCACGAAAAACCTACCAACAAAACTGGAAACAGAAAAAGAAACTTAAATTAGCAAGCACAAGGCAAAGGATAAAAATATTCAGCTAAGCAGAAAGAGCAGGAGGTACCGTAGTTCTTGTTTCTCAGGCTCATAAAGCTTAAAGAAAAGAAGGATATCTTCCTTGGTTTTGACAGGCGGAGGAATAGGACGTAGATCCTGGAAAATGTACAGAAACAATAAAATGTAAGGAAAAAAATCCTTTCATACAGCAATTGGAACTCCAACAAGCTTCACTACACAGGTAGTAACAAGAATAGAGTAAGACTGGTTACCGGCCCAAACTCTACTTCCAGAAACAACCTTAGCTCTGCATTGTGTGTTTTATTTGATACCTCTCTCAATTGTCCAACCTGAAAAATGCAAGCGGTCATCATTAGCTTTGCATAAGGCACCTAGACCAAGCTCTTCTTAGCACCGAATTGCAGTTAAAAACACTACCAATCATTCCAAATCTGATATCGAATGTTTATCACAAATAAAAATAACAATTATAATCGTCCATCATTCGTTCATAAACTTGAGCAGTTCAGTGTTAGACTCTACAAAGACAACATCCGCTAATAAATCCAAGTGGAGGAAAAGTAATAATTCAGGTATAATAAGAATTAGGAATTACGAATAGAACTGAAAACAAAGCGGGCGGGCAAAGAGCAGGGCATCTTGTATTGAAAATCCATTCAAAGATAGGAAGTACAAAGTACGTACTGATTGTGTTTCTTCCTGAGGTGTCAATGGTCGGTCGGGGCGATATGTGTGGTTTTGTCTCTTGGCCCAAATCCAGAAACGCTGAAACTGCACTGGTATGCCAAACACTTTCGCAACTTCCTCCTGTCAACCATTTCAAATTTAGCAATTCGCATATTAAACATGACCCCAAATGGTAAAAAAGAATAAAGAAGACATAAATGCACAGTGTCAGCCTGTACTGATGTACCTTGAAAAGATTAAAGGGCGTTTGATTCTGAATACGGAAACTACGAACTTTGTCATGGTCCACAAGGTCAAAATAAATATCCCTTCCAATTTGCTCTGTCAGATCCTCATCTCGAGCAACCTAAACAAATCATTAAATTTTGCTATAATTTTTTTGTTAAAACCAAACACCTGTCATACCACATCTGAACAAACAATGGTGAAAACGGGGATAAACTAGAAACCCTTACCTTAATAGTTCTATAGAGGTGTGCTTTTGCCTTATATCTCCTTTTGTTCTCTTTCTCTTCTTGTTCTTTCGTCAACCTTATCTGAAATGGAACATAGAATGTCAGTTCATTCTCTTAATTGGACACTGGAATCAGAACTTCTGCTTGATATACCATTACCCTTAGATGTTCGGCTATGTCTTTCTTATCCACGTTACATATTATTTTGTCCTTATCACTGTCCCGTATATACACAAGCATGTATGCATTTGAGTATTTTGTAAATTTGAAAGGAGTATTATTGAAGCCAGGATTGGTCTGTGGCAACTGTTGGAAAGAAAACAACAATAGGTCAGTTGACAATTAAGAAACTTTAAAATCAAGGAGAACTATAGAAGGTCGGATACAGCCAAAACTAAACTACCTCTACCTCACCACCGTACTGCTCTTCTAAAGCCCTCTTCACATCCTCTTTTGTCACATGTTCATCATCAAATTTGTACCTAAAACAAGACATGACAAGTTACATCAACACATGAAGTGCATGCACAAGAACACTCATTCGTGCATAAAAATCCAAATAAAGAAACACCAACTTCAAAGTAATTCTTGGAAGAAAAAAAATGCATATGTCATAAAATAACAGGTGCTTTCTTTACGAGCAAGCAGTCAGGTAACCAAGTTATGGTACCAGAATCCATCAGAAAAGCAATGTGAAATATAAAGATTCCAATAAAACCAACTTATTTGAACAAGGACCAAAAAAAAAAAGTAAGAAGCAAAGCAAGAGAGCAGTGTGAGAGAATGTCTGTCTCTGCGTTCATGTGTTTTCTGTGTGAGACTCCAGACAACTACAGAGAGAATCGATTCCGGGAGATCCGTCCATACCACTGGTCTGAGAGGGTTGGTCTGATGAAAGCATAGTAATGTCCACCATGCACCTCATCACTATGCACCAAGACACTGCAACAGTAGAAAATTATCATAGTAAGTAACCAACTACAAAGTAAAAATTATGAAGCTCCACACAACATGACCAAACAGGCAGATGCAAAAGCAGGTTCGAATAACCCTCTTCATATATTGTATTAGTATTTTTAAATACCATAATCACTATTGGGCACAACTGATAAATTAAACCTGAAATTTTTTTCACAATACCACCCACTCAACTAATAGTACAGAGGCACAATGCCTTAATAGTCGTAGGCATGAAAAAACTTTGATAAATAAGTAGACTCCTAGACATAATGAATGACCATACATTAGGTAGTTCTATAACCCAGCTTCAATTTCAATGAAAAAAATTGGATCTATCCACTGGGGATATCATATGTCGAGACAAAAAGAAGAAAAGTGGTTATGTTACACTCAGTAAGTAATGCCATGCACATCAAAAGGTCTAGAAAGTACAATCCTTTGAAATAACATGCCAAATTTAGGAAACAGATGATCTATATTATATCATGTAATAGTACAAGGCAAAATAGATACCTATGAAGAGTATAGAGGTTGCGAACACTCTTATCTGATTTAGGTGATAGATATTTTCCATTCTCCCTATCAAGGTCAAGTTGAAGAGGAAATTCATAGCGATCATTTATCTGCCAAAAACAAATAATACAACATTTTTACCATGATAATTTATTTGCTTTCCATTTAAAAAATGTCATTGCCACACGAACAAACATACCCAAGAGGTAAAAACGAATTTCATTAGTATATATAACTTTGAATAAAAATAATCCATTAAATTGAGAAAGTTCAACAACAAAGAAACTGAAAAAAAATGAGGTTCTTTTTTTTTTTTTTTTTTGAGAAAAAGAAAGGAACAAAAAGAACTATATAGATAGGGGTTAATCCATATTTCAGGATTCAGTCATAAAACAAAAATTAAAATTAAAATTAAATTGAAACCCATTAGGCAAAGACAAGCCTTCACCTGAATTTATACAAAATGTGAAGAAAAATATTTGACATGGTGCAGTTTTGTTTTCAGCCAAGAAGCTTACCTTCATAGTAAAACATCACAGTTACAATGTTTCATGTATAAACACAGATGAAGCTAAAGGAGGAAGATGAGCTTCCAGTACCAACCTTAACCATAGTGTCCCACATAAAATCATATTCAAATCGCTTTAGCTGAAGTTGAAGAACAGGAGGGAAGTCTATAAACAGAACACCCTTCTTAGCATCCTGGAATACACATCCAAAATATTCCTTGAGAACAATATTTTAAATTTTTAATATCAAAGAAATATATGCAAGAATACTTTCTTCAACAAGAGATTTAATGGAAAGAAAAAACTGAGGACTCAGAATTTAAAATATATCATGCACGACACCACCAACACATGTTTTGGGAACATATATTAAATACTTGACTGCAGAGGAAACAATGTAAACCCTAGTTTTGGAAATAATGCAACTACAAGCAGCCTCAGATTATATCTATAGTAAAAAGCAGCACCCCGAAAGTGATTCAGTAATTAACCTGCAAACCATGTTCTTCGGCGTGGTATTTATTGTCACCCTCAAGACGTTCAACTTCCACGTACTTGTCAAAAGAAGCATAAACATCCCGACAGCCTTTCACATCAAGCTGTAGGTCTGCAAAGTAATAAGAAGAAACCAGTGGCATGCACTGACATTTACAAAATATTTCCAACTCTTAACAACTGAAATTGTGCCAATAAATATTACCATAAAATGATTCCCTTCTTGTAGATTTGTAATCCACATTGATGCATTCAATGTAATTCATGTGATGTCCTTCAAACAACTGCTGTACTGTACCCTCCACAACAGTTCCCTGGGCCCACAGAACAATTATCAAAATGAAATGAACAAAAGCTACAGCAATAGCAAAAACTGAAAGCTTCCTATACCTTCATTTTATCTTCAAGCTTTTCACAAAGAACTCTATTAAGTTCCTGCACATCATGTTGCATAAAAGAATCATATGCATCCCATCCAAAGGATTTGGTCAATTCCTTAGTTGCAACACTGCTTTCACTGTATCGAAGTTTATAGAATAGACGTTGTAGTGCCAAAGGGATGCTTCTTGAAGGCATGTCATTCTCAGTTGTTGGCATATGATGCACAGCCTGGTAAGTAACTCCAAAATTAAGATCATGCATATAAAATTCAAAAGAGAATTCATGTTTAGCTCACAATAACGACAGGAGATCACATAAACAACCTTTCTGAAGTATGGTATATGGTACCAAGTCTGGAGTAGAGAATTCATATAACCAGTTGCTCCCTGATTCTTGAGCCCAACATAACCAGTTTCCTTTTTCGAGTCATACGACCCGTAACCAAGAACCCTAAGGACAGAAATCTCAGCTTCAACCACAACTGTATCGTTCACCAGATATCCCCTACTCGGGTCATAAAGATAACCAAGAGGCATGAATGAAGTGAATCCCCGGTGACTTTCCCTTGCATTGAACTGGTGTTGTGTGTCTGCAACATCATACAACAATCAAGAACAAAGGTCTTAAAAAACGTCTAGAATAAGATTCAGTTTGTTTGGTTCTGGTTAAACAGCATGTCAAATTATTGTTTTGCAACTTAGGCTACACCAACAAAATACAATTCGTTAAAATATTTGAACTTCAATTCTCCAATTTTAATAAGGTAACCCACCTCAAGCTCGTCCCTTAATAAATGGAAACCCTTGATTTGGTTAGCCTTTTCATTAACTAGAATTCTTGCTTATTGCACACAGTTTCTAAGTAAATTCTTCCTGTTTCTAACTTTCTACTTTTACTGTTAATCTATATTTGACATCTTTATACCTAAAAGGACTAATCTATTGGTTTTCAACTTACTTCTAACATCTGTTGGTACGTTTTACTCCATAATTTTTCTATTCCTTTTTCTCAAACTACAAAAATCCCAAAACAAGGTCACCATGGGCACAGTCAGTGGTGCTGCTGCCGTCAGCCAAGATGTTAGAGAAAAAGGGGTGGAAAAATTTTCTTTCCTTTATAGTTTTGATTTTTCAATGAGTAAAATTAGAATTAAGAGCTCCCATAACAAGATTAGGGTGACTAATCAGATATTGATTGCGCTCAAATTGCATCACCCAAGAACCATGAAGTTGAAAGCCAGTACATTCATTTCAAGGATAATAAGTTCTAATTAAATGCTTTGGGTGCCCATGACTACCCAACGACAAGCAAAGCTCCTAATGAAAGAAAAAAGAAAACGGAAACCAGGCAAAACCACAAAATTGAATGCTAAAAGGAAATAAGACTAATAAAGAAATATACCCTTTCTTATTGAGTACTTGGAATGGATCTGATTAACTACAGCCAAGCTGAAGTGCGCATATGTACTCCACCCATATGGCATTGTCCCGGAATCTGCCACATCCAAATACATTGACAAGTAGTCCACTTTGTTTCCCATGGGAAATATTAGTATCCGCCTGATCAAACATACCAAAAGCAATTCAAAATCCAATCGCCGAGATACAATATAATCCAAACTTAAGCAGCATAAATCAGTTTTTGACATCAGGTAGACAAGAGAAAATACCATTTATAGCCGCCAACAACGAACATGTCAGAGTAATGCTTCTTGGTGTTCAACCAGGTAAAGTTCTCAATTGTCCAAGTGATTCTCATCACTGGCGGATCCTTCACTGGCTGACAATCAACTGTACAAGCCGGCTCCACTTGGGCTACTAGCAACATACCAAATACCATAAATTTCAAAACAACAAAACCAAAACCCTAAAGAAAATGCAATCACTTGCCCTCTAATCAAACCCCGTGTCGCCAAATTCGCACAAAATCAATTCTTTCAGATTAGGCAACACCGTAAACACAAACTTAAGAAATTCAAACAGTAAATCATCGAAAAATTGCTAAAAATTAAACCTTCCATAGGCTCAGGGCCTTCGACCAAATCAGAGTGCGGCACAAGTATCTCTTCGTCCTCTTGCTGCTGCCGCTGCTAACAAAATCAACAAAAATCAGAGCTCTGATCAAGAAAAACCTAACCAGAGGGCCGCGTGCGTTACTTTTCGCAGGCAAATGACGGTACGTGATCTTTCCTCGTACACTGGTAATCAAGCTTTTGTTCAAGTGGGTGATGGGCTGGATTCTCCCACTTTCATACAATCCAGCACTCAGTGCGGAAAGTATCTAAACTAATTAACAAAATTTTCTTTGTGATCCAAAAAAGCGTGAAAAGCGATTCAGTCTTTTTATCACAAAATAGAGTTATTGATGTAATTCCGCACAAATATCAATGCTAAGGAATATTCTCCCAAAATAAGACTCTCGTAAGCTCTCTCAGTTCATGTGTTTTTGCACAATTTCCGTGTCAACCTTAAGACAAAAGCTATCACTTATTTCGAGGAATTTCATGAGATGGAGATTTTACAAAGATTCTCATTTAAGGGTGGCTCTACGTAAAGACAAAAGCTATCACTTATTTCGAGGAATTTCATTAGATTTTAAATATGTCGGAGGGATAAAAACATAAAACAACTCAAGTATGTCTCAAAATATGGAAACAATATTTTAAAATACCAACCATACCCCCTAAGGTTTTAAGACTATTAATATAACTCAATCATCACAACTCCAATAAAATTAATATGTGTCATAAGCTCAATCTATTATTGACTATTTCTGTAGAATCAGTTTTGAAATTATATGTAGAATCTGTTTGTATCCTTATTACTAGAATCAGTTCAACTCGTTCTCAACCATTTTTGCAAAATTAGTTCAATCAGTTGTCAACCATTTTTACAGAATTAGTTCAATCAATTCTCAACCATTTTTGCATAATCAATTCAACCTGTCTTCAACCATTTTCCAAAATCAATTCAACCTATCATCGATCATTTTTACAGAATTAGTTCAACCTATTTGACCATTTTTGCAAAATCAATTCAACCCATCCTCCACCATTTTTGCAGCAGCAGTTCAACTCGTCTTCGATCATTTATACAAAATTAGTTTATCTCGTCCTCCACCATTTTGGCAGAATCATTTCAACCTGTCCTCAACCATTTTTACATAATCAGTTCAACCTGTCCCAACCATCTTGCAGATTCAATTCAATCCGTTATCGACCATTGTTGTTGAATCAGTTCAACCAGTCATCTACCATTTTTACAGAATCAGTTTAACGCGTCTTCAACCATTTTTGCACAATCAGTTCAACACGCTCTCCACTATTTTTACAAAATCAGTTCAACCCGCTATCCACCATTTTACAAAATCAATTCAACCGTCTTGGACAATTTTTGCAAAATTAATTTATCCTGTCTTCGACCATCGTGAGATTCCATATTTTTTAAAATATTTATTTATTATTATTATCATTTAAAAAAGTTGTTATTGGGTTTTCTTATATATACATATTATACATATACTAAAACTGGTTTCCCCTTGTATATGCTAAAACTGGGTTCCCCTCTGCCACTGTTTTTCACTGTTCGTGAACAGTGAAATGGCGGTAATGCTCTTCGCTGCTGCTGATTCTCAACGTGTTGATCATCGCGTAATGCGAAGGAGGATGCAAAAGCCGAAGCCAGCTCTCTCTCTTTCTCAAAGATGCCTCTCTTCTTCTTCCTCTGATCTGACCAATCACAGTCAGATTCTCTCTTCCAACACCCACATCAAATTTGGTAGGGTTTCCACGACCTCCTAAAACCTTTTGTTTTGCCAGGCAAGTCATTATTTTTTAATTTTCCCCATAATTTTATGCTAATGTGGCCTGTTTCCCGTCCTGATTCTCTCAGTCTTTGCTCCATCTTCTCGAGCTCTCTCTCGCAGCTCATCCATTTTATGCTAATTGAAGAGCTCCTTCATCTTCCCCAATACTGGCGTTTTCGAAAATTTCACTGTATTTCGCAGATTGGAGCCTTCTGTAATGACCGGAGCTGTTGGGATTTTGAAAATAAGTGGCAGTAATTTTTCTTTTGGGTTTCGTCTCTCTGGTATTTATACTGAACCCAAAACCCCAAAAGATTTGAACTTTCAGGTAAATTAATTTACATTTTTCTGATTTTTTTTTCTTTTCTTTTTGGAGAATTTGTTGTTAGAATTTGTGTAAATTGCTGCCATTGTGTTATGAGTTAGGAGAAAAACAGGGTTTCAGATGCAAGGGACGAGATGGTTATGTGTGTTTTGCGTAATTCATGATATTTTATGAAGTTTGGGTTGAGGTGTGAATTTACTTGGAAATGTATGTATGCAGTTTGCATCATTGGAAGATGTTTATCTAATTCCAAGTATCGAATTGATTTTGTACCAATATACAGTACTCAAATGCTCTCAACAAATACCCGCTTTCTCCCTCACTCTCATGATGATTGCTGTGTATTACCACGCCCAGAGAAGGTGAGAATCCAGCCTTCCCAAACTTGGCCTGCCTTATCGGCTGTGGAGTATCAACAGGTGCACTTGAAATTCCTTATAAAATTTGGTAATTATTGTTGACATGGTGTGATGTTTGCTATTAACTATGCTGAAATATTTGAGAACTGTAGAGTAAACAAAAGAGAAAAGGAAATTTAGAGTGAGAATGATATAATAATTGCTTTGTAATTGTATGAATGAATTAACTAATCAATAGAGAGAGAGAGAGAGAGAGCTACCAACTTAAACAACAACTAATCACCTTGCTTAGCTCTCACGACACATGCTTAACAGGCTAACAAACACTAACCACTAAACTGATCTGCTGAGCTGGACCATTAACTCTGTTTATATCTCCACCACTCATCTTTCGGCACTTATCAATACACTACTACAAAAGGGGGCTATAGTGTCGGAGGGTGGTGTCGCTTTAATCTAATATAGTAGCGGATTAGGCAGTTGCGACACTAACTGAACATGACGTCGGATTTACTGTCGCTTATAAGCGTTATTAAATGTTTATGTCGCTTTTAAACCGACGTAAACATATATTTTAATAATTTTTAAATACTAGTGTCGCTTTTAAACCGACGTAAACATTATTTTAATAATTTTTAAATACTTGTGTCGCTTTTAAGCGACATAAAGTGTGTATATATATATATATTAAATTATATATATATTAAATTAAATTTTATATCCCTAAAAACTATAATAATTATATATATATATATTAAATTAAATTTTAAAAAATTGGTGATCATTGGATTGGCTTAAATATACATACGATTCAATTTCTTAAGTGTTATACATACAAAATAAATAAATTTAAATCTACTTAATATATATATACACACACACACCATTGAACTTGATTGGATACGAATTCTATGAAACTAATTTCGACAGTTATAAACGAAAAATCACGATTTAACGGTTATTTTAACTCCGATTTTGATGATTTTTTACAGCTACACTCCTGACCCTATATGAATACAATGAATGGATTCGATCTTCAAATTAAAATATTTACACAAGTGGATACCACAAAATCTTATGTTATACTTAATGAAAGTATAAATAAACTCTAAGTGTTAGTCAATCTATTGTTTTGATGGGATACAAATTCTCGGAAACTAATTTCAACGATCCCAACCGTCAAACTTGTTTGCATATGCTTCCAGATCACATCAGCAAAAAATCACAAAAAACAAACATTCAGAGATCAAGTAACGGGACAAAGCTTTTCGACGGTTATAAACGAAAAATCACGATTTAACGGTTATTTTAACTCCGATTTTGATGATTTTTTACAGCTAAACTCCTTGACCCTATATGAATACAATGAATGAATTTGATCTTCAAATTAAAATATTTACACAAGTAGATACCACAAAATCTTATGTTATACTTAATGAAAGTATAAATAAACTCTAAGTATTAGTCAATCTATTGTTTTGATGGGATACGAATTCTCCGAAACTAATTTCAACGATCCCAACCGTCAAACTTGTTTGCATATGCTTCCAGATCACATCAGCAAAAAATCACAAAAAACAAACATTCAGAGATCAAGTAACGGGACAAAGCTTTTCGACAGTTATAAACGAAAAATTACGATTTAACGGTTATTTTAACTCCGATTTTGATGATTTTTTACAGCTACATTCCTTGACCCTATATGAATAGAATGAATGAATTCGATCTTCAATTTAAAATATTTACACAAGTGGATACCACAAAATCTTATGTTATACTTAATGAAAGTATAAATAAACTCTAAGTGTTAGTCAATCTATTGTTTTGATGGGATACGAATTCTCCGAAACTAATTTCAACGATCTCAACCGTCAAACTTGTTTGCATATGGTTCGAGATCACGTCAGCAAAAAATCACAAAAAACAAACATTCAGAGATCAAGTAACGGGACAAAGCTTTTCGACGGTTATAAACGAAAAATTACGATTTAACGGTTATTTTAACTCCGATTTTGATGATTTTTTTACAGCTACACTCCTTGACCCTATATGAATACAATGAATGAATTCGATCTTCAAATTAAAATATTTACACAAGTAGATACCACAAATCTTATGTTATACTTAATGAAAGTATAAATAAACTCTAAGTATTAGTCAATCTATTGTTTTGATGGGATACGAATTCTCCGAAACTAATTTCAACGATCCCAACCGTCAAACTTGTTTGCATATGCTTCAAGATCACATCAGCAAAAAATCACAAAAAACAAACATTCAGAGATCAAGTAACGGGACAAAGCTTTTCGACGGTTATAAACGAAAAATCACGATTTAACGGTTATTTTAACTCCGATTTTGATGATTTTTTACAGCTACATTCCTTGACCCTATATGAATAGAATGAATGAATTCGATCTTCAATTTAAATTAGTTTTTTTAAATATTTTGAAACCCAGTGTCGCTTTTAAGCGACATATTGATTTAAATTAGTTTTTCGTTTTATAACCATCGAAAAGTTCCATAGAATTTGTATCCCATCAAGTTCAATGGTGTGTGTATATATATATATATTTATTAAGTAGATTTAAATTTATTTATTTTGTATGTATAACACTTAAAGAAATTGAATGGTATGTATATTGAAACTGATCCAACGGTCACCAATTTTTAAAATTTAATATAATATATATATATATATAATTATTATAGTTTTTAGGGGTATAAAATTGTTACATTAATATATATAATTATTATAGTATTTTTTAGGGTTATAAAATTAATATATATAAAATTATAGTATTTGAAATATTAGGCGGGAAATTTCCCGCTTGTTTGAATGGATGGAGAGACTTAGTGTCGGTTTTAACCGACGCTAGTGTCATTAAAGCGACGCTATGTGAATTTCAAAAAGTGTGTCAGAAGTTGGCGTCGGTTAAAAGCGACGCTAGTTTCATTAAAGCGACGCTATGTGAATTTCAAAAAGTGTGTCAGAAGTTGGCGTCGGTTAAAAGCGACGCTAGTTTCATTAAAGCGACGCTAGTTTCATTAAAGCGACGCAAGTTTCATTAAAGCGACGCTATGTGAATTTCAAAAAGTGTCAGAAGTTTGTGTCGGTTTAAAGCGACGCTAGTTTCATTAAAGCGACGCGAGTTTCATTAAAGCGACGCTATGTGAATTTCAAAAAAAGTGTCAGACGTTTGCGTCGGTTTTAACGGACGCAAACTAAGTACCCATATTTAAACCCCTCTCTTTCCCATTTCAACCGTGCTTTCATTTCTCCCCCAATTTCAGACTTTCTTCTTCTCCTTCCCCATTTCATCTGTGCGTCCCCTTCTTCCTCCTTTTCATTTTTTCCTCAACTCCTTCCCCGTTTGCTTTGGATCACCAGTTTGAAGATCAACATTCTGAAGAACTCCAATTCGAGGAGGAAGAGCTTGAAGGTGGTTCATTTTTAAATTATTATGATTATTAATTTTAGTTTCTATTTTGTATTCTAAATAGTTTTATGCTTAAATTGAAAATTTATTTTTGTTTCTTGGTTTTTAATTGTTTTTTTTTATATTTATGCATGTTGGATCTGAAGAGCAAGGACACTGGAAATCGCAGATCCATAATTTTTTAAAGGTATAAAACCTGAGTTTAATCTATAGAGATTAGAGCCTTAATGTTGAAGTAGTAAAGTATTGGAGCACTGATCTGATGGCAAGCATGGCAGCATGGAGTTGCTAGTATTATATATGGCACTATGGAGCTACAAAATATGTGGTCTTCGACAAAGGCAAGCACAGGAAAGCATGGAGGATGAATTTTTGTAAATTATATGGAATGTTAGATGTAAAACATTTGTATATTATGGCACTATTTTTCTTTTGAATTATTTTTATTATTGTTTGTTTTGGCCTAAAATTGAAATTTATTATTTCGATTATATAATTTTTTTGAGTTATAATTATTTGAGAACGAATACAGAAACAGATTTCGACTTTTTTTTTAATTATTATTATCAAAGGTGGTGTCGCTTTAAATCGTCACTAGTTTGCATATTTTATTTATTTAATTGTTCTCTAACGTCGCTTTAAACCGTCACTAGTTTGCATATTTTATTTAGTTAATTGTTGACTAGCGTCGCTTTAAACCGACGTTAACATCAGCGTCGCTTTAAACCGACGCTGCGTAATGGCGGATTAAGCGAACAAAGCGACGCTGAAGCCCTTTAGTGACGGTAGCAATGGCGTCGCTATTCCAATCCGACATTGCAGTGTTTTATGTCGGATTTTTGCCAAATTTCCGACAGAAATCGGGGTTTCTTGTCGGTTTTTGGTCCGCCGGTGATAGCCTATATTGTAGTAGTGATATTTGCAAAATCTAGAGTTGCAGAAACCCCATTTTTAACGAATATTATTAACCCCATTTTTAACGAATATTATTATTAGTTGATAATTAATTGATGATTAATCTATTCCATTGTTCATTATTTTATCGCCAAATACTTTGAATATTCATTAGCAAAAGATATAGGGTCCACTATTTAATGAATAGAATTTTGATGGTGGATTGCATTTCCTGAGTTATAAATGTGGTGAATCCATTATTTACTAGCTGAATAATCATAATGTTTTGGCCACTTATCTTGAATTTTGTTCAAATTGAAGAAGTCACATGTTTCTTAAATGGAAACCTGTGTTATTTGAATTTGGCTTTTACACTTGAACTACATTTGTAAATCCCATGTTGTGCAAATTACTCTACACACCATGACCTGCATTTCTAATTGTTTACTGATCTATACTTTAGAGATAGTGTACATCAATTTGCTTTTTGTAGTGCATGTGACTGTGATCTTGAATATTTCATATTCTTTGATATTTTCAGCATTCAGGTTTTGAAAATTCTGAACTTTATTCTTTTGTTTTTCTTCCTGTTTTATCAGGAATTGAGCCATGGTCCTTTGAACAACATTTGGGGCAAGCTGTTTTTATCCCTGCTGGGTGCCCTTTTCAGGTTAAGAATCTTCAGGTAGTTTTCTTTGTAGCTAAATTAATATTTTTGAAGTACCAACTTCGGGTTATTTAAAGAAAATGTGAAGGGTTTAGATTGACTTGACAAGTAATTTATTTAAAGCATCTAATTGCACTTGCTTCTGTATTAATTTTATTTATTGGTCATTCGAAAATGTCGCATAGCAAACATTAACTTGTCCAATACTACAACGTACATACAATACAGAAAAAAAAAAAAGCTATCTTTATATTGGTTGATTTAACGTTTTATGTTGTTTATTTTTGATAATTTCCATTCCAAAATGTTTACACTTTTGTGAGTCATTACATTCTTTATAAGTCCACCAAATTCACATTGTATTTCAATAAATTTTAAATGCTTTGTCTGCGCTCTAAACTTTTTACTACTATGTGTTAGATATTCTAATTACTAAATCAAATTATCACCATTCCATTTAACAGGAAAAAGAAATCCAACATTATTCTTATCATTCACATATGTGTGCTTCTCAAGCTTTGTTCTATACAAATTTTAATGCACCTGACACCCACTTCAGGATCATTGGCATTGATCAAATAAGGTGACCAAATTCTTATCATTGATCATTCAATACCTTCTCTCTTTGCTTAGTTTTATTCACCCCTCTTAATACTTATTAACTTTGATATGCTTCAAGTTATTCGTTGGTATATAACCCACCTCAACTGCTTTCAAAATAAAAAGATGCTCCTTTACATAATTATGTGAATTATTTAATTTTCAGAAGAACTTGATTTAAACTTTTTAATATTTACGCAGGAAAGGGAAAAGCAATTGATAAAGCAGAAAGCTTTAGAGAAAGCTAGAAAGCTTCAGGTAATAATCGTGAATGTATTTTGGGTTATTCTTCTTTTCATAGGCTCGAAATGCAGTCCTTGTTTTGTGGTTGAAGTTTTCCTAAAAGGTATTAAGAGCAGTTCCAGCCCAAGGAAAATGGACCGGCACCAAGTGAAGAAAATGGACCGGGACTCTGTCCATCACCTCCAGCCCGCAAAACAGGCTGGCACCCAGCCCACGCCAGGCAGCAGCCCAGCCTATTTCGGACAGACCCAGAAGCCGGTCCATTTCCCTGGCGCGTGCACAACACGCGCGAGTCTTAGCGAGTAGCCGACAGGCTTTGCAGGCGGTGGGGCCTGCGAGCAGGGCAACTTGCATTCATCCGGCTGAGGGCTACGTGGCCCTCCTCAGAGTCGTTGGATTTCCAACGGTAAAAAAAATTTAAATTTGACTTTTAAATTGGACCGTCCGATCACAGATCAACGGTCCACGTTTTTTTCACCAAAAAAAAAAAAAAAAAGGCCCAACAGTCAGAAATTTGACCATTGGCCACGTGGCAGCTGGTTGGCTGTTGGATTTGATTATTTTTCAAATCCAACGGTCCAGATTAATTACAACATTAAAATTTATTAAAAAATAATTAAAAATTGTGAAATTTTTTTAAAAAATACAGAAAAATTTTAAAAAATTAATTTTTTTTCTATAAATACCTAACCCTGATCTTCCACCTTACACCACATTTCAATATTTTCTACACTTTCTACACTTTCTACATTTGAATATTTTGTACACTTTGAGAGAAAAAAATGACTTCGTGGAAGCTCAGTGAAGATGTTACATTGTGTGAATGTTGGGTTCACACTACTCATGACCCGATTACGGGTAATGAGATGGATAAGCGAGAAATGTGGAGTAAAATTACGAAATCGTTTTGCGATGTACATGGAAAAGATGCCAGATCTAGTCAAGGTCTTCAAGGTCGTTGGAAAAAACTCAAGGCATCCTTTACTTGTTGGAAAAACGCCCTCTCTCATGCTTCTGGTAATCTGCGTAGTGGGACAAGTTTAGCGGATGAGGTAACAATATTTTTATTTATTTATATGCATTCCACCCACATCAATATTTTAATTTATTTAATTTCTTATGTAATTTTTATGTAATATGCATTCCATGCCCATCAATATTTTAATTTATTTATTTGTGTTACACCCACATCAATATTTTAATTTATTTAATTTCTTTTATGTAATTTCTATGTAATTTCTTATGTAATTTATATGCATTCCACGTCCATCAATATTTTAATTTATTTATTTGTGTTACACCCGTATTTTTTAATACTATCTTATCCCACATTTTTATAGACACTACAAGCACAAGCATTCTACAATGCAAAAAACCATAACAAATCATTCAACAAATGGGAATGTTGGCAAATTGTCAAAGATTGCCCTAGATACAAAATTGTGGCAACCGGTCCAGAAGTTGTCATGCACGGTATGGGTCTACACAGTTCGCCAGAAGCAGACACAGTCAAACAAGAAGCTAACACATTTGAAGACACGGAAGGGACGCCTGAACAAGTGCCAGAGACCCAACCGACTCGTCAGTCCCTCAGGCCTCAAGATAAAAAGGCATCAAAGAAAAAATGTAGTTCTTCCAAAAATGACTACACTAAATATATGGAGGAACTTACTCGTCAAGGTGAACTGAACATGGCATGGGAAAAGGCTAGAGATGAGGAAAAAGCTACTGCTATGGCAGCAATAATAGCAGCTACTGAGGCTCGTGATGCGGCGGCTGAGAGACAAAGAGAAATAGTTAATCGAGAGAATGTGCTGATACATCCGGCATACCATTTCTAATTACCTTGTAGATCATGTGATTGAAAACTGTTTAAGAAGTGGTGATAACAATTTCTACCATTTTTGTCAAGCAATGATCACCACTGCAAGTTGAGTGTAATCCACTACAGAAAGTACGAAAACCAGTAGGAGGGAGGGAAAAGTGTAGTTTTCAATTAAAGGTCACATATTTTTTACAAGCTTGGCAGGCCTAAAGTAATGTATGATAAGCATCATTAGCTTTCCTAAACATAAAATGAAAAACAAAAAACAAACAGAGGACTTCTCATACGATTGGCAGAATTTTTTAGATGGCAAGTCACGGATAATACATGGAATGCATAGAGAGAGAGAAACTTTACCTTCGTTTTAAGTACATTAATCACATCCCCAACAATGCTCTGTTTAGGCAATCTAATACTGTGAATCCCCACCTGCAAGCAAATAACACAAGATTATGATGTGCACAATCGTCCACACGCAGAAGATGCAGACCAAGTATTTCACATGGACCTCATCTTTTGTAGCGTGGTGAAAAGCAACTTTTAGATGTTTCAGGCCTTGCAATTCTGGCAGGGTGATTTCCAAGACTTCATAGTACAAAATATCAGAGCTCTGTCAAAGGCAAAGCATAATTAGTACCCACCCCGCATGATGCTTATGAGAGAGAGAGAGTAAACAACAGAGGAGACCAATACGATGCACTTACTTGATTGTAATGGGTTAACATTTCTGTTAAATGCTCCACTCCCCGATATTTGATTGGTTGGGCCCTAGGCTGTTGAGAATAGCAGTTATGTGCAGTGAGTCTGATTTTGGTAGGATCCTCCAAACCAATGCGGTGAGCTAATTTCTCCACCACATCATCATAAGTGTGTAGCTTTGACCTAGAAAACAACAAAGAAAAAAAAAACAGTTATAGCAAACAATAAAACAATGGACACTACAACTATGAGGGACAATGGTTAAGTACTAACAATTCTAAACAAAAATCTTCCTCCATCGGTTTCTCCAAAGAATGGAAATGAACGATCTCATCTGTATAACATCAAATCATCCAATATAGTTAGGTTCAACATTCAACAAAATCCAATATATAAAAAACAGTGACAACAAAGTAAAAGGACAAACACATACATAAGTTTTTGTATAAGAATGCTACGGCAAAGCATGCATCAAACTTATACATTCTAAATGTACGTATATATTAAGTTAAGACACAGCTGAAGCTACAAAGTTAATGTGAAACACACCTCATAAATTTCAATTTCTTCATCAAGGGAAAAACCAGCAAGTTGATTCAACTTTGCTAAAATCTCTACTGGCTTAGTAAAACTCTTCACGAATAGCCTGCCAACAAAACTGGAAACAGAAAAGAAACTTAAATCAGCAAACATGAGTCAAAAGAGAACTATTCGGCTGAGCAGAAAGAGCCATACCGTAGTTCTTGTTTCTCAGGTTCATAAAGCTTAAAGAAAAGCAGGATATCTTCCTCAGTTTTGTTAGGCAGAGAAATAGGACGTAGAATCTTGAGAATTTATACAAGAAGAAAATGTAAGAAATGATGTCTTCCATAAAGCAATTGGAACTACAATAAGCCTCAAAACACAGGTCATAACAAGAAGATAGTAAGACTGGATTACTGGTCCAAACTCTACTTCCAAAAACAACTTTGGCTCCGCATTGTGCATTTTATTTGATACCCCTCCAATTTGTCCAATCTGTAAAAACACAAGGGGTCATCATTAGCTCTTCTTGGCACCAATGTAAAGCTTGAACACTACCAATCATTTCAAAATCTGAGATCAAATGTTTATCACTGCCCATCAAAAAAAATATATACTGTAACAACTTCATTTAAAATGCCTCGTCCAATACTTGAAGCATAATGATTATGGAAATATAAATTAAGAACTTTTTAAATTCCAATTTCGCAAGAGAAATTGACAGTTATAATCATTCGTTCTTAAACTTGAAAACTTAGTGCCAGACAGAGCAAAGTAAAAACTGAGACACAATGAGAATTATGAATTACGAAAGGAACAGGGAGCAGTGCCTCCAAGTTTATGCTTGTTTAGAAAATCCTTTCAAAGATAGGAATTGTGAAGTACATACTGATTGTGATTCTTCCAGAGGTGTCAATGGTCGATCTTAATAATAGTGTAGTGGTGTGCTTGTTCCTTAAATCTCTTTTTCTTCTCTTTCTCTTCTTTTTTCAATCTTATCTGAAATGAATCATAGAAAAAGGGTTCAGCCCCTTAGTCCGACACTAGAATCCGGAACTTATACTACCATTAACTAGAAGTAAAGACAAGCAGTTTACCCTCAGATGTTCGGCTACGTCTTTCTCTTCCACGTTACATATTACTTTGTCCTTATAACTGTCCCGTATATACACAAGCATGTATGCATTTGAGTATCTTGTAAATTTGAAAGGAGTATTATTGAAGTTAGGATCGGTCCGTAGCAATTGTTGGGAATAGAAGACAACAATAGGTCAGTCGACAGTTAAGTGACTTTAAAAGTAAGGATGAGTGGAGCAATTGGGATATAGCCACAAACAAACTACCTCTTCGTCACCACCATACTGCTCTTCTAAAGCCCTCTTCACATCCACCTTTGTCACAAGTTCATCATCAAACTTGTACCTAAAACAAGCAAGGTCAAATTACATCAACTGACAAGTTATGAACATATATGAAATGCATGCACAAGAACACTCCTAGTCATCCATAAAATCCAAGCAAAGAAATACTAACGCCAAATTAATACTTGAAAAAAAAAATGTAAATAACTGAACAGGTGCTTTCTTTATGGTTGTCAATCAGGCAGTCTGGTAAACCGAATTGTGGAGCCCAAATCCATGGGAAAAGCAATGTGAGAAATATAGATTCCCAGAAAACACAACTCATTTTTGAACCAGAAAGATAAAAAAATTAAACATATAATACTAATAATAAAATGAGAATTGTTATTGGCAGTTCTAAATTCTCATTTTGCACTCCAAACTTTCTATATTTAGAAAGAAAAATAACTTGTGAGGAGTGCAAAATGAGAATTTTGGAGTGTCAATAACAGTTATTTAATAAAATAATAATAAGAAGCAAAGTAAAAGAGCAGTGTATTAAATGTATGTTGGTGTGCGCATAAGCATGTGTATATCTATCTGTATGTGATATGTAATTACAGAGAGAGTTGATTTTCCAGGAGATCCATACCGGTCAGAGAGGGTTGGCCTGATGAAAACATAGTAATGTCCATCATGTGGGCCACCACTATGAACCAAGACACTGCAACAGTAAATAATTATCATAGTAAGTAACCAGTTGCATAGTAAAATCTACAAAGCTACACATCACATGAAGAGCACCAAACAGGCAGTTGCAAAAGCAGATTTGTGTAACCGTCTTTCATACATTTCATTAGGACTTTTCTTTAATACTATTTCTACGGTTGGATACCTATGAAGAGTATACAGGTTGCGAACACTCCTATCTGATTTGGGTGATAGATACTTTCCACTCTCCCTATTAAGGTCAAGTTCGAAAGGAAATTCAAAGCGATCATTTATCTGCAAAATACAA